TTAATTGATCTTTCCAATTCCACTATCATTCACTAAATCTCTTCCCTGATTTTTTATATCAATTAAAAAATTTATTAACATTATTTTTCTTCTTCAAAACTTAATGAGGAAAAAATTCAAGTATAATTAACATACTTCTTTTCTCTTTCATGTTTCACGATTCCTTTGGAAAATATTTTTTTTATTTTTTAATTTATTATATTTCTCTCACACGTAATTTCATAATTGTTTATTATTAATCATGGTGTTTGAATTTTATTGAAGATTGTTCTTAAAATTCTAGGTAGATCACATTTTAAATTCATTCTTTTAATTTTTATATATTTTCAAATTCTAGATAAGATCATTATTTCATTTTCAAATGATATGTTATGTATTGAGAAAATTTTACTGGAAAATATTGATGTTGATACTATCATCAATGATCTTGTATAAAAATGATCGACTTTAATATTTTTTATAAGTATTTGTATTCTTAAATTTAAATTTTTTTGTTATCTTATATATAGTAATGTATTATTATTTTTTAATTTAATAAAATTTTTATATAACATATATTTTTTTAATTTTTTATATTAAAAGATTAATTTTAGCCTAAAAATAATCGGACCGGCACTGATTTGTATCCTCATAATTTTTTATTTTCCCCGACCGATTGCCACCTCTAAATCTCTCACCTTCTCACTCATTTTTAACCTTTTTTTTATTCTCTCATTTCTCGCCACCCCTATATCTTCTCTCTTTTCCTCTTACAAATCCTGTATATTATCTTTTTTCTTTATATACACTCTCTGTCACCATCTGGGTTCTTATTCATTTTTCGTCGGGTGTTGGTTTTTTGGTGATGATATGATGACGATGGCGGTGAAAGATGAGTGGATTCGGGCGGCGATGAAGGACGTCAACGTGGTGGTGGAATTACTGGTAAGGCTCAAACAAGCGCAGGCTGCGCCACCGGCTCCGAAATCTGCGGCGGTTGCACTCAAATGGGGTATACGTCAGCCGAGGTCTAAGGCTATGTCGATGCGACGCGAGGCCAAGAGACAGGGAGATTTCAACGTCAGCTCTAGACGTAGCCCCACAACGCCTCTTTCTTGGAGCGGTGGCGGTGGTGCTGCCTCTCCTTCCGCCGCGGACGGCTTTGAAGAGACCAGTAAACAATTCTCTCGCTCTCCGCCTACCGTACCTTCCAGATCCAAGGTTTGTTTTTCCTCATCTCTCGTTCTCAATATCAGCAACTGATTTTCGATAGTATCATTCGTTTGTCCCTGTATCACATGGGAATTGACGTGCCACTATCATCGTCTTTCGTTTCTATTCCGTCGATGAGACATTCTCGTCTAACTGGATAACTTCTTTTTATTGTTTAAACTCCTAGTTTTCAGGTCAAATGACCATTGAACCCCTCTTTAATCTCCTTATTTACTCGTTCCTATCTCTTTCCGTTACATGTAAACCAATACTTTTTGGGTTTCTGGAATCTCCGATTGTATTTTTTCCCGTACGTTTTTCGTTATCTTCAATGTTTCAGTTTGCACTCGATCTATCCGATCATCGGTTTATCAGGATAGCATTTATAACAAAATGAACAAACCATTGGACAAGCAGTGTCATATTTATTTCCGTTTGGACTAAAATGCCCTGCCGTTTTTAAGGGGTTTTACAGTTTTCACGCCTTTGACGTTTTCTTCTCGCCTCGTTTTTGCTCACCTGTCATTCTATTGTTTTCTATTTCTAGATTTACTAAATTACCTTTCTAAACGCCGGCCCGGACAATTTTGTCAGGAGACAGAAATGGCTCTGTCTGTGCCCACCGAGTGTGTGAACCGGGAAACTTCCCCGTAGAGGATCGATCTCCTTTAAGGGTATTTTGGTCATAATGAAATAAGTAGGTAGGGTCCACTGAGAGAAGGGGTGGTGGTCTGCATTCTGTAGGGGATGGAAACTCAACATGATCGTGTCGGATTTTTTTTTTAAAAAAATTAAATTCGAGTCGGGTCGAGTTTTTTTATGTATTGTTCTGGTCGGGTTCGAGTTTAAGGTGGAAAAAATCTGACCCGATACGATTCGAAAAATATATATAATTTTACCCTATATATTTAGGGATAATTATAATAATTTCTCTCTTTATATAATTTTTTTCAATTAAGTCACTTTTTTTATTGAATAATTTTTTTTTATTATTTCTAGTCGAATTAGGTTTTTAAGTCATATATTCGGGTCGAATCGGGTGAAACCTTAATTTCGTCAGATCGAATAAAACCTTAATTTTATCGGATCGAATCACAGATGAAATACTATTTCTTCTCGAATCGGATCGAATGATCAAAAACCTGACCCGATCGTACCTCACCGATGACCATCCCTAATTCTGTGTTTGGTGTAATGTTGTTAGGGGCGGATGATAGCTTTTTTTTATTATTGGTTTGTGAGGAGAGATATTATCAAGTGTGGCGCGGGTACTGTTAAATTATGTGGGTGGTCTTCCTAAGCTATTTGTAATATTTGTAACTGTTATCGAGTTTTTATCTCGTGTTTTTCGTTCGATCTTTTTGCCTTGTCCGAGATGGGATATCTTTTAGAATCTGGGCCCAACACATCCCATCATCTATGATTATGCATCGCATGGATCGTGGATTGTGTGATTTCTGGAAAATTTATTCGGTGCTGGGAACCTTAGGTTTATACACGTAGTAACCCAATAACTCTTTGCCGTCGTCAGAAAGGTCATATGATAGAAAGCCACGTGATGTCGACCGGGGTAATACAATAAAATATCGGCATAAAACATTGAATTCAATCATCTTGTGATAATGACGTGGCGTGTTACCATTGGATCACTTGTGTGAGAAGGGCTGGGTCTGCGGCTTTTGATCAAAGTTGGATTTTAGTAATTGTTTTGACTTTTGAGAGTTTTAGTTGACCCACCATTCCTAGCTTTGGGTGGAGTATTAATCCTCTTAAGAAATTTGTTGGTTCTTGCCTTGGGCTTAAGATTGATGATTGGTTTATGTATGTTTGCAGGGTACTGCAGTTAATGAAACCACTAGCACAACTACCAAGAGATCGAGAAGGAAGAAGGTAAAATAGTTGATCTTTACGGTTCATGATTTTGCTGGGAAATGGTTTATGCAAGAGCAATATGAAGACGATTCATGTGTACTGTATCTTAAATCTGAGTAATTCGTCGTGTTTTCAGACATTTGCTGAACTTAAGGAAGAGGAGAGTTTACTTTTGAAGGAAAGGGTTAATTTGGAAAAGGTACGTTGAATTTTCTTCAACGTGGGGCTTTGCTTGAACTCCTCATATCCCCTTGATTGCTTCTGGATAATCTTGCACTTGTATTCGTGTTCGTTGAACAGGAGATGGCGTCTATGCGTGCTACTTGTAAAGAGCAGAGAGCCAGGAATGAGAACTTGAAAAGAATAAAGGTCAGTAAAATATTTCTTTGGTGTGCTAATATGGCCTTTCATTAATCACTATCTCACAAAATTTTTGCATATAAAGAAACCTCTATTTCTTTTTTCCACCCTTTCTGAAGTTAACTTCTATCGTTGCAGCTTGATTTGAACTTGCAAATTGCAAAGAGTGAAGTTGAGGAGGTACCTTCTTGTTTACCCCGTCAGAGAGTACCCTCTACTCTTGACTATGGTCCCTCGACGGTGCTCTCACATGCCCTTGATGATTTTAAAGCACTGTTAGATTGTTGCAATATAGGGAAAGCTGTACTGCCTGATCTAAATATGATGCCTGTTGAAGATGATTCCGTCACCGAGACTTTGTATGGCACCACCTGAAAAAGATGACTTGACTACTTTAACCCCTCTTCTCGCATCAAAAGTCTGGTGGGGACTTGCAGGAAAATGGTGACACTGGCCTTTGCAATGAGCAATGTGCTTACTGATTAACTATACTGGTTGATACTCGGGCCAAGCAACAAATATCACAGTTTGCTTCAGTTGGCAACCCTTGAAAAGGCAGAAGAAGCTGACCGGCCACAGAAAGAAAAGATATGCAGATGGCAAAGATTCTTGTCATGGTGCGGCCTCTGATATTCGTTGGGGTAAAACCTCATTACTCGAGATTTAGTAATTTATATCCAAATGACTCTGATTCTTTGTAGGTGTAACCTGATGTCTTGGTCTTGAAAACAACTAATCTCAGAAATATGTTGTTACAGACTCTGTTGCAAGGATTGATGTTATTTATTCATGACTGGTGAAATTTCTCGATTTGTTCAATTTTTTTTCCAACCGGATTATACGACCCAAGTAAATCTCGTGTTTGGTTTTTGGCTACTCAGTAGGTTTTGTCAGTGATGTTCCTTTGACTGTGTCAAAAGGTTCTAACCTGACGATTGAAATTTCCGATCTTTGAAAAAGGAGCGTTGTAAGAATCACAGCTATTAGAGTTTTGGTCAAAAACGATATGCCACCCAAACCTTTGACATTGGGCACACCTGTTTTTTGTTTTTATCCTTGCACTTTGGTACCACACATGGTATTTGTCTGCATTACAGATTTTCATAGTATTTGCCGGATTTTCAACTTTCTTTGTCTTTAATAAATGGTTTTCATTCGAGAGAAGAGAACACATCCAAATTCCAAAACGGGTACCCGGCTGCAAGCCTACACTAGGCAACTCGACTGCTGTGCTTCTCATAAGCCCATGAACATGAATGCTAGAAAAATACCGTCCTAAACCTCCTCCCCTCGTGTGCGGTGTGGTGTACCCATTATGCCGTTGGATTTAAAAAATGCATTTAAAAAAATATATATCTCATTTTTGCCGTCGTCGACGAATAATCTATGATATCTATCGAGAAGCATGTGAAAATTTCGAACCCGTAAAATGTAATTTATGAGTTTATCCAAAGTGATAAGTGGCATGTATATATTTTCACCATTAAGTTAGTTATATCTTCGTTATATGATATAATTGAATCAGATTAACTGAACCAAACTGCCAAAGGAAGTATTATTGTTTCCTTTTTAAAATTTTTTTTTTAACAAATCCATGATTGTTAATCGATCTTTTTCCATGGCTTTCCATGTGGGTGAGTTTGCCTGATAACATCAACATCAATGCATAGCGGATATCACCTTTCATCAACTGTACTTGTCGACAATGAAAACTGTTGAGTTCTCTCATGCACGAACTTAGTGATCTCTGTGGTAAAAAAATTATTGTTATTTCTTGAGGATTCATATTCGAGCACCATAGAAACCAGGAGTGTGAGCGTTCAATGTCGAAAAAAATAAGAATTTATCTTTCAACAGATATTGTCTTATACTTATTTCAGATTAATAAAAAAAATATGCGTTATCACATAAATTACTTCATTTTTCAATAAAAGTATATAAAAGCAACACTAAGTACTCTAATAAAAAGGAGGGAAGTGAATAAATGTTTTATATATATTATAAATACACTATTGATAGACTAATATTTTGGTCACTACTCACTAGTAAACAGAAAATGGTTCTATTATCTCTCTTATTTTGGTCAGTAATAGTATATTTTTTCTTTATAATTTAGTTATCAACAATTAAATATTTAATAGAAAATGTGATATAATATGGTATAATAATAATTCTAGTTTTAAAACTTATATATTCTATCAGTTCAATCAAAATTCAAAATAATTTAATAAATTTAGTGATTTTAATATCATTGATAGTTAAATAAAACATTATTATAACTATATCATTGATAGTTAAATATTACATGAAATAGTGACATGACTCAATATAATATTAACTTTTATTTTTAAAATTTATACATTCTATCACTATCACTTTGATTTTAATCTAAAATAATTCAATATATTTAAACTCTCATATTAATTAACAGAATAATTTTTATTCGAAATAATAAATTGACAAAATATTTAAATTTTAAGGATTGATACAAATATTATATAAATCACATTAGAGGTTTGTTTCGGTTTTAATGACGAAATAACTGGTTTATAATAATATTTTTAAATAACTAAATTATAACTTAAAAAATGATATACCTATAATTAAATTAATAGTCGAATTATTTGAGGTTATATTTTACCTTTGGCCCAAATTAGATAGATACCCATTGTGGTTTTAACATTGCACGCTTGCTTCGATGACTAGTGCTGCACCTTGAAAAGAATACAGCAAATAAAGTGCAAAATTAAGTCTTCAACACCATACACTAACCCTGGAAATGTTATAGGAACCATGGCCTAACGTAAGGTTAAAGAACGGTAAAAAGGAACTAGATCGAAAGTTTTATAAAAAATATAATGATTTCGGTTAGACGCAATTTAAAATGTTGATGAATCTAATCAAAGGAAGAGGAACTGACACACCAATCCATCCAAGAGGAAACGGAAAAATGGTAAGGTGAATCTTCTTAGCATAGTTGACAACTTTTACTGCAACCAGAACACAAGCAGCTGGTTAAAACAAATGGAAGACCATCCAGATCAATCAAAACATCATAACTGCTGAGGGGTTTAACCTGAGCATTTTCTCTTGTGACGATCTTTCTCTTCCTTTCAACTTCCTCAACATTCTCCCATGGAGTTTCTGTTTCTGTTGCTCTCTCTCCCACGCCCTTCGTACAACTCATTTCGGGTACTTCACTTGTTCTCCATTACTACAAACAATACATGCATGACGTTATTAAGCAATGGGGCTGAAAAGAGAATGAATGTGACTGCTATCTTGACCTTCATTTTCAGGGAAAGCAAATGGAAGTGAGGCAGAGAGAGCGGTGGAGGTTCCGGTTGGTGAGCTTCTGCCGCCATTGGAGGTTCCGACTTCTTCATCCCTTGTTTTGGCTGCTCAGAGGACTTACAGAAAAGATCCTCTTAACGGCTTCAAGGGATACACGGGAGGATGGAGTATCAGGCAACACCATTACTGGGCCGTAAGTTTACCCAAACCCCACAGTCAAGATGAACCATTTTGATGATTGGCTTTTTCCAACTTTTTATCTTTTCAGACATGATCATTCATCCTTCGTGCCAGTTACTCATGTCCAGTTATTTTCCACTTGCCTGCATATGATTACTTTTGGACCCTTGGTTCTGGTTCAAAGTTTCAATGTTGGCACGTTGATGATTTTACATATAGGTCCTTTAGTATGTGTGATTTTGACACTAGGGGTATTCTTGCTTATCAAACATTCTGGTTAGGGTCCCCATTCCCGGTTCCTACCACACCCCCTTTCTTTTTCTTTTCAGTTTATAGCTAATAAGTAGTCCAATTAGATCATTAGCGAGTAGGAAAATTCACTCTATTTAGCAACACTTAGCAATGTATTTATGATTTCTATACATAGCAAGCAAGATTTACATCAGTAATTAGTGTTACCAAACACTTACAGCTAATAAATTTATTGGCATAAATTCACCTTAAAAAAGACAACTATTATGCATCTGGTTTCTGTTACAGGTGCCGAAACGGTGTCCGACATGGACGCTTTGTGACACAGCAAAAATATTGTAAAAAAATGGGACATGGGCACGTAATTAGTTTATTGATCCTTTTAGCTCTTGTTTTGCACATAATAGGTTTTTTTTTGAAGATTTTTGATCCATTTTCAATGTCCTAGTAGTTGGATTATATGTAATTGACTATACTGCAGCCTGTAGGTATCGGTTAAAGATTTATGTCCTAGCTAATCATTCCCAATTTTGTTTAAGTGCAATCCGTTGCTTATACTGCAGTTCCCCTATTTGCAATTGCTGCAATCTGGTTTGTTGGCTTCGGGCTCTGCTTATTGCTCACTTTAATCATTTATTTCTGCCGCAAAAGGCGGCCGTACGGATATTCCCGAATTGCTTATGCAGCCTCTCTCATCTTCCTTGTGTTGTTCGCAGTTGCTGCAATGTAAATCAATCTTTCTCTCCTGTCATCTGCATGTTGAATATTAATGACATACTAGTTCTCAAGTCTTAATGCTTTGTTCTTCGGTTTCAGGCTCGGTTGCATTGTACTGTATGTTGGTCAGGATAGGTTTCATAGTAGCACTACTAAAACATTACAATATGTTGTGAATCAAGCTGACCTGACTGTTAGGAAACTAAAGGATGTGTCCGAATCTCTTGCAACAGCTAAGCAGGTTGGAGTCGATAAAGTTTTTCTACCTTCTAATGTCCAAACAGATATCGACGAGATAGGAACAAAAATTAACTCCTCCGCAGGCACTCTAGCCGATAAAATGGTGGATAATTCGAATGACATTCGAGATCTTCTAGATTCTGTGTAAGTGAAGGATTCTGAAATTTACCTGTTTTAAGAAAAGTTTTGTTCATTAAAGCTGTATTTCGATGGTGTTACAGGAGAGTGGCTCTTATTGTAATAGCAGCGATCATGCTTCTATTGACATTTCTTGGATTCTGTAAGTTCCTATGGTTTGGAATTTCTTCTGCCCCTAAATATTAGAAAATTTGTTGGTTAATGTATCCACGCAAATCTTATTTTTGTTTCAGTGTTTTCGATTTTCGGGATGGGCTTCTTGTTTACATGTAAGTTAACTATGAAATTTTGGATTCTGCAAGGGTGTTTTCGTTCTCCGGACGAATAACTCCGGCCTTTTACGACCAAATGACGGCAGTAGTGAACGTGGGCTCAGCATTGTACAATTATGCTCCATTCCTGGTTCGGTTACAAGACTGCACATTTGTGAGGGAAACTTTTACAGGCGTTTATGTAGAACACTGCCCCGGTCTACGCCGATATAGCAGATTGGTTTCCACAGGGCTGGTAATGGTCTCAACTGCAGTTATGCTTTCTTTAATCTTCTGGGTAATATACGGTCGGGAGAGACGCCATCGCCTTTACAAAAGACGGATAAGTGAGGGTCCTGAAGCAGACAAAGACTCCTGAAAAAGAAGGTTTCCCTTGAATATGTTATAATACAATTGCAGTTAGATTTCACGTGTCGGATTTGTTACGTATGTTGTAACGTTAAAGATTTGCATAATCAGATGATTTGTATTGAGGCCTGACATTATTTTACTGTTACACAGCAACATCATCGTTAATTTTCTAATAAAAGATAAATATCAAAACATAATATTAATGATGGTTTTTTTATAAAATAATTATATGATCAAAAAAAAATCAAAGTGATAGTTGAATGATTAAATACGTAATTTATCTAAAATTGAAAAAGGGTATGAAGTAAGAATAATATGGGCTTCGATTTATTTAAAAAAATGGGCTTCAAAGACAGAGGGTTCCTTCCAAGTTGAAAGCAAAAAACCAAGCCTGTTATACGACAATATCCAAATTGTTCGAACAAGAAAAATAAAACATTCAAACGCTTGTTGACTAGAGGAGCCGGCAAAAATTACGTTGACCCTTTGCTTTGACAACGAAGCCCTAATCAGTGCAGAATCACAGAGATTAAAAATGAATAATAAATACTGAGAATTTTCTGTCATTTCATTCCTCCTCTAGCCATTCATAGAGCACCCATCAGCGGAATATAGAATATTCCCTACAAGTTCCGAAAAAATACTGTTATTCTTCTCATAGTCGGTTTGTTTTTCTTTGTTAGTCTTGGTTTCGGGATTCCTTCAATCTGAGAACATGGGGAAGCCGACGGGGAAGAAGAAGTTTCAAGAAACGGTCAAGAATGTCATGGAATCCAACAAGCAAAGCAAGGGCGCCGCCGCCGCCGATCGAGCTTCCAAAGCCTTCGACGAGGACACGGCAATCTTCATCAACATGTCTCAAGAGCTCAAAGAAGAAGGTAACCGATTCTTCCAGAAACGCGACCACGAAGGCGCGATGTTAAAGTACGAAAAAGCCCTTAACCTTCTCCCTAAGAACCATATCGATGTCGCTTATTTGCGCAGCAACATGGCTGCCTGTTATATGCAGTTGGGCATCGGGGAGTACCCTCGTGCCATCAATGAATGTAATTTGGCTTTAGAGGTTTCTCCAAAATACAGCAAAGCTTTGTTGAGAAGAGCTAGATGTTATGAAGCTTTGAATAGATTGGATTTAGCTTATAAGGATGTTTATAATGTTTTAACTATTGAACCCAATAACTCTTCTGCTTTGGAGGTTTTAGACAGCGTTAAAAAGGCTATGGATGAGAAGGGTATTACTGTGAACGAAAATGAACTTGGCTTGTTTGATAATGAGCCTTATGGGGCTACACGGTTGCGAAAAGTGGTGAAAGAGAAGTTGAAGAAGAAGAAGAAGAAAAATGAAGGAAAGAATGTTGAGATAAACAATAAGACTACATATAAGGTTACAGAAGAGAAGCCGTTGGAGGATAAGGCCGTTGTGAAGGAGAAGGTAAGTCTTGTCAATGAGGTCAAGGATGAAGAGGTTGTTGTGAAGATTATTGAGCAGGAGAAGAAGGCTGTTGAGGAAGAAAAGACGATTACAAAGACGGTGAAGTTGGTGTTGGGGGACGATATTAGGTGGGCACAATTACCTGTGAATTGTACTATTAATTTGGTGAGGGATATCATTCGAGATAGGTTTCCGGGGCTGCAGGGTGTTATTGTGAAATACATGGATCCAGAGGGTGATTTGATTACGATGACTTCAACAGATGATCTTAGGTTAGCTGAATCAGTTGGTAGTGTATCAGGAGGATCCCTTAGGTTCTATATTGTTGAAGTTAGTCCTGACCAGGAACCAGCTTATGAAGGAGTAAGTAAAGATGACGTGGTCAAAAGTGAAGAGAAATCGAATGATGTTGTTGAGAATGGTGAAGCTATAAGGGGAACATGCCTGGATGATTGGATTGTCCGGTTTGCACTACTTTTTAAGAACCATGTTGGGTTTGATTCTAATTCGTACTTGGATCTTCATGAACTTGGGATGAAATTATATTCGGAGGCAATGGCAGATGCTGTGACAAGTGAAGACGCGCAGGAGCTGTTTGAAATCTCTGCAGATAAGTTCCAAGAGATGGCTGCTCTGGCATTGTTCAACTGGGGAAATGTTCACATGTCCAGGGCAAGGAAGTATGTCAGCTTAACAGAAGACGGTTCCAGGGAATCTATGCTAGCCCAAGTTAAGGTTGCGTATGAGTGGGCACAAAAAGAATATGTATTGGCGGCAAAGAGGTATGAGGAAGCGTTGAAAATTAAACCAGATTTTCATGAAGGTCTTCTTGCATTGGGGCAGCAGCAGTTTGAGCAAGCAAAACTCTGTTGGTACCACGCAATTTCTTGCAAGATTGATTTAGAGAGTGGGCCTTCGGAGGATGTCTTGAAACTTTATAATAAGGCAGAGGACAGCATGGAGAAGGGCATGCAGGTTTGGGAGGAAACGGAGGAGCGACGGCTAAATGGACTGTCCAAATTTGATGAGTGTAGGACCCAGTTGCAGAAAATGGGGTTAGATGGCCTGTTTAAAGATGTTTCCCCTGAAGAAGCTGCTGAGCAGGCTGCAAACATGAATTCACAGATATACCTGTTATGGGGCACCTTACTTTATGAGCGTTCTGTTGTGGAATACAAGATTGGGTTGCCAACTTGGGAAGAATGTTTGGAGGTTGCAGTTGAGAAATTTGAACTTGCTGGAGCTTCTCCAACTGATCTAGCTGTTATGATTAAGAACCACTGTTCGAACCAGAATGCATCAGAAGGTATCTACAAAGAATCCTCTCTAAATTTCAAATTGTCTTCTTCTTAGGAAAAAAATCGTTTACGAGGAAACTTTGTCCCAATTTTGTTGCAGGTTTAGGATTTAAAATTGACGAGATTATACAGGCATGGAATGAGATGTATGATGTAAAGAGGTGGCAGACTGGTGTTCCATCATTCCGGCTAGAGCCATTGTTCCGTCGCAGGGCTCCAAAGCTTCTTTCTATCTTGGAGCATCTTTAAATTTTCTGTTGATTGGGCTTTCTTTTGGGGGCATTAGACAAGTGCTCCAGTTCTGTTTCATTCATTTTCCAAGATCAATGTTTGTGTGCTACTAAGATAGGTAAAACTTATTACTCTCTTCAGCTTCTTTTCTCTGCAATTTCCATGATGAACTTTTATCTTATAACTGAAATCATAATTTGGTTATAAAGCTTGTGCCCATTTATCTTGCTTCCTTTATGATTTCTTTCAGTCCATGTATTAGTGCCCATCGAACTGACCGAAGATGATTTATGGTGTTTGGTTTGTGTTATTGCAGGTCTTATTTTTTGTGTCTGGCTGGTTGTTTGCTACAAAAGCAAAGAACAAAAGCTTGTGCACTGTGAGTTGGATATTGAAAGGTACAGTTTATGATTGAGCATGAAGCCTAGTCCAGTCATTCATTTTTGTCATTTTGTCAATTTTTGGGGGTGATTATATTTGGTTGGTTCATCAGCAATGATCATATAATAATTGTTGGTTGTAATCCGTAGAATCATATTGTTTGTTTGTTTGTTTTCACATAGAATCACAGGGTCATCATTTGTTGTAAATTTTTATTTGTTTGTAGCTTGTGGAACGTTTTGGTATTCGCATTATAATATCAATTTTAGTACTTCGTTTTCGTGTGAGACTTATATTTCAGATTCTATTTCATCCAAGTTTGGATTTGAGTTTCTTACAATGTGAGTATAAAGTTTTAATTTTTGGGGTAAATTATGTGTTTAGTACCTAAAATATCAATTTTGATATGTTTTAGTACCTAAACTTTCAATTTTTTCATAACCATACCTAAATTAAGCTTTAATTATCCTCAGTCTTCAGTTTTTTCCCTCTCTTTGTCCGAAGTCCGTCCAAGACCGTCCTGCATTTCTGAGCTTTAAGTTTAAGTAATGTTTTAAGGAGTGAAAAGCCTTGCAATCACTCTTTATTTTCTGTTCATGTAATATAAAAAAAAACTACGTTTCTTCTGTCCGGGTTCTAACCATCCATTGCCATAGGGTCTTCTTGGGGTTCAATTTTTGTTTCGTTTTATTATTACTGTTTAAAATTTAACGTTAAGTTTTGAAAAAATTTAAAAAGTTTAGGTACTAAAACGGGCTAAAATCGTTTATGTACTAAGTGCATTAAGTTTTTAATGGTGAGTACTAAAATGAAACAAAAACGTTAAGTATGGTTTTGAAAAAATTGAAGGTTTAGATACTAAAATGGATTACAACTATTAGTTTAGATACTAGATGTGTAGTTTACCCTAATTTTTTTAAACTGCACAAATGAAACAAAAATTTAAAGACTAATTGAAACGAAGGAAACATAAATGAGTAATCGAATTAATTAATTAATTAAATCATTCTTGTATTCATATATATATATATATATATATAATATAATAGGATATGCAATAAATTAAAACAAAAAACATATAAAATAAATCATTAATCATATATTTAAATAAATTTTATCTTTGAAAAATTATTTCAGATAAACTAAATTATAAAATTTGATTACTACTAAATTTTATATATACAAAATAGAATTATATTGATACAGTTAAATTCATTTTCAATAATATATATTTATATGTGTGTATTAATATTTAACATACATGATGATATAGTCAGATTCTTATGATCAGTAGATTTTCGGATTCGTTCAGAATCTTGGTATATGTTCCGTCTTAAATGCGGAACTTTGGGCGATTCAGGATGTTTTGATTTATGCTTGGAGTTTAGGGTTTCGAAAACTAGAAGTTGAAACAGATTGTGCCGAGCCACTGAAACTGCCGATGGATCCGGCTGAGGGCAGTGATCGGCACACTATGGCTGTCTTAATTCGTCAGATGCTGGACAAGAATTACGAAGTAAAACTACAACATGTTGATCGAGAAACAGACAGGGTGGCGGATAAACTTGTTATGAGCGTCAGGGGCGACCCAATAGGCGTTATGATTCACGCGAGCTCTCCAAGGGAGGTGGCTGCTTTAGTCGATTAGGACATAAATCCCATAAACTAAGTTTTATGTTGTCTTATTCTGTATTAAAAAAAACTATAAATATCGACTGTTAATGAATTAATATTTTTATTGTGTTATTCTTTATTTTAAAAAATATAAATATTGGCTGTTAATGAATTAATATTTTTAAACGAATTATTTTTATTAAAAACAAAAGATCGGAAATTAGAAAAAATGAATTAAAATGGTTGGCAAGAGTTTTGGTATTATATCTAAAAAAAGAGGACTATGAGGAGCAATGCGGCTGAAACATATGATAACAATTCCAGGAACAGGTTAAGTTAACCTGTTTAAGTCTCTCTTGACACTTCGCATCAATTCCCTGAATCGGTAGAGTGGAGACCAGAGAGAGTGCTTTTTGAACAAGAAAATTGTTTCCTTGTTCATCTTTCTTTTGACGACCGCTAAAGCGTTTGATTTTGATCCCAAATTTCCATCGAAAGATTAGATTAGGGCTTTCACTCGATTCTCGATGGAAATCTTCAGAAGAGCTTCTCATGCAGGATCTTGGTACACTGATGACCGTAAGTCCTTTAAAGCTCTTTTGCTTCCTCCATGCTCCAAACCCTTAGCGATTCTCGTAACTAATTCCAATTATTGCTTTTTGCTTACCTTTGTGCGAATTATCTAGTCGAGGAAAAAATATCGTTGATTTCGAGAAAATTGAACAATTGATCAATGTGGATTGAGGTGCGAAGCCAAGTAATTTCGAAGTGTCAATTTAGATAGAGTTATTTATGGAATGAATTAGTCTTCTGTTGAGTAAAGCTGGAAGAAATTAAATTCGTTTAATAGTTTTAAGTGTTGAATTACAATATTATTGACTGAACTGATCTTCTGAAGTTGAAAACATTGATGGTTTCAACTTGTACGATACGCCTTTAGGTGATTCATTGTTCACGCCCTTAGGTGATTCATTGTTCACGCCCTTAGGTGTAGCTAATTACATTTGTAATTCAAACATCTAAGAAAACAACATAATGATTGTTTTTTAATATTTGAGAAATTAATCAATAAATAGCTTAGAAATGTCGTACTATTTAAATTATATATATACAATTTTCTCAGCAAAAGAATTAGCGGAAGAGCTTGATGGATGGCTTATGGAGGCTGGCTTGCCTAAATCTTCTGATGTAAGAGGTGTAATTGCTCCGTAAGTTGATCTGTCACCTAGTTTGTTTCTTCCATAACATTACTTAAAGTTTTAATGTATTCTCTCCCCTCTGGCTTGACTGTGACTCGAGAAATTCAGGCATGCAGGCTATTCATATTCAGGACGTGCTGCTGCTTATGCTTTTGGAAATATAGACCCAACAAACATGTGCGCCTTTTATTATACTTCTCCACTTTGATTGCTATAGTTCAATATCACATAATGTATCTCAATTCCCAGGAAGTATGCTTTTTTTTTCCTAATCATTAATCATGTCTTGAGCCAAATTTTGTTCAGATGATTTGTTCTGACTATGTGAAGGTCATAATATTTGAACGAAAACTAATTACTTCATCTGCTTCATTTACTTCTAAAACTGACTGATACGTGAGAATATTTATAAGTGCAGTTCTCGTGTTTTCCTTCTCGGTCCATCTCACCATTATTACACTCCAAAATGTGCTCTGTCAACTGCTACGGTGTACAAAACACCAATAGGGGACTTACCTATTGATTTGGAAGGTGAAGTAATGTCCATTTACATTGAGCTAAATATAATTTTCTTCTCGTCATTTGCTTTGTTGACAAGTCTAGTAAAATGTCTTATATATTTTATTTAGCTGATTGACTGGGGTTTTGGTCTTGGTAATTCTTTTCCCTTGATGAATGTCTTGTGATTTTTTTTTAAAATCCCTAAGCCTCTCTCGTCCTCCATGCAAAACTTAAGTAGAGTCATTTGTTTCATCTTTCAGTCATCGAAGAGCTGAAAGCTACAGGAAAATTTGAATCAATGAATCTTCGAGTTGATGAAGCTGAGCATAGCATGGAAATGCACTTGCCTTATCTTGCAAAAGTATTTGAGGGGTAATTTTTAAACATATTTTAAGTAATGCTCTACCCTTGGTTCTAGTTGAAGCTGATTTTGGGTGATGGTGATATAGGCATCCAGTGAAAGTTGTACCAATTTTGGTTGGTGCTCTTAGTGCTGAAAATGAAGCAATGTATGGAAAGTTGCTGGCCAAATATATAGACGATCCTCAAAATTTCTTCTCCGTGTCATCAGATTTTTGCCATTGGGGTTCTCGGTATAATGGATTCAATCTCTGCTTCCTCTTAAATCTCACCTTTTTTGTTTGGCATAAATGTCGTCTTTGTTGTGAATGATGCATAAGTTGTCTTTGTATGCATATTGTGATGTAGATTGTTATATTATCCGGGTATACGAAATGTTACTTTTACTTTCAAACACCACTTGTTCAGCTGGTTCATAGATGGTTTTATTTGCTCTATACCCGTAAAAGAACAAATACATTGATTATGGTTTTCTACATTGTGGCACAAATATTTACCTTTTCTACATTGGCACCAGGTTTAATTACATGCACTATGACAAAAAGTACAATGCCATACATAAATCGATTGAAGCCTTAGACAAGATAGGCATGGATATAATAGAAACAGGAGACGCAGATGCATTCAAGGAATATCTGTCGGAGTATGACAACACTATCTGTGGACGTCATCCAATCAGTGTTTTCCTTCATGTAAGTGCCTCAATAAGCTTTCTTCAAAGCTATCTCTTGTCTTCTTCTTCTTCTTCTTTTTTTAATAAAGGAAACATTCGTGATTCATCCCTTTAAAAAACTATCCGTTAGCCTAATAGCAGAATGGTTATTTGAGTTTCCTGATTTTCATTTTTTTATGGTCATGCTTATCTTTGAATATATATTTCAGATGCTAAGGAACAGCACAACAAGAATAAAGATCAAATTCCTCCGATACGAGCAATCCAGTAAGTGCAAAACAACAAGAGACAGTAGTGTGAGTTATGCATCTGCAGCAGCGAAGGTGGATGCTTGAAGATGTGAAAAAATAAATAAAATACTCTCTCTGGGGTGAGAACATCTGGCAAGCCCAACTCATTTCATTTAATCTGGTATATATAGCTTAATTACATGCATTTTGCAAGACCCAGTAATTGGTGGGCTTAGTTGCCCATAGATTGAGACTAATAATGCTACTCTTGTTTCTGAATTCGGGTGCTTTTTAATTCGTATTGGAAGGTGTTTGGGTGCAATATGATGACTATTAAGTTATGTAGAAAGCATATTGCCTGGGCAAAGTAATCAAGTAGAACATAATTGAACTTATCGAATGACAAAGTAAAACATAAAGGCCCATGTTTTATGTTTTTACTTTGCCGTCCGGGATTGTCAAATCAAAATAAAAAACTTTTAAACATGAATGTAAATTTCAAGTCAAATCATAATAATTACAAATTAAAAGCCTTTTAGTTTGTAATTATTGTTTTTAATTTTATTATTTATTAACTTAAAAGCCTTTTAAGGTCAAATTAAAAGCATACCAAGCAGCGGTGCATTTATTAACTTAAACCAAGGACAGGTACCCTCAAAATCAATGTCGACTGTGCTTGTGCATCTACTGCGGGGTCTTCTGCGATTGTGGTTCTTGTCCGAGACATAAAGGGATGTGTTGTTGCTGGCCATAAGCAGGTTCTGCAGGAGACTCCATGTAAGGGGCTGATCGAGGCCTATGCGCTTTGTTCCAGTAGACGGATGGCTGTTTCTTTCGCTCCAACTGCAGTTACTATTGAGAGTGTCTCTCTAAACGTTGTTAACTCCACTGTCCAGCAACTGACTGTAGTGTGATGTCTTTTGCTTTGGTCGAAGGCTGTCGACTCATGGCTGACCACCGTTAACTATCAGTTCGTTATGTCCGCCGGTCAGAAAACACCGCAGCCGATGCTCTTGCAAAGTTGTCCGCAGCAATGTCCATATCTGTTTCTTTTAATGCAGATTATCCTACTTGTGTAAGTGACATCGTTGTTGCTGAAGCTACTTTAATATATCATTTGAATGTTACGTTCAAATGATAATAATGTATTGATAAATAAGCCCATCTGTTGGATTTAGGCCTTATGGGCCTTAAACTAAACCGACAAAAGGGATATTTTAGGGAAGAAAATGTAATAAATGCTAAAAAAAAAATATTGTGGTCAAAGGCATGTCACTTTATCTCAGTCAACGGCAATAATCTCGTTTTATGATCAAACATAGATCATGATTGTGTCCATGGATAAAGGTATATCAAAGAAATCGTACGGCCTCAGTTTTAGCTGTCATGCTTAACTCCACGACCGACAAGTCTCTTTATCTCCGACATCAGGCACTCCTAGACTCATGTGATCGTGGATGCTAATAATATTTCCAAAACCCTAACATAAAACCCCCAAATTCCGAAAACCTAATTCAATCTTTAAGTCTCTCTCTTCGATTGGGGTTCCTTTCTTTGTAGTCTCAGTCCACGATATGTCAAAAGTCACGCAAATGGAAAGTCTGACCGGAAACGATGTGTTATCGGGCTTTGCACTGCAAGCTATGGTTGTCGAGACTGCCATTGTTGTTACAAAGTCCGTCGCTTTGTTGCTCACGATGGTATAATTTTCTTTTATTTTCTCTATGTAATTTACCCTCACTTGTGAAGTTGATATTTAATTTTTGGGCTTAATAGTTTTGAACGGTGGTTGCTTGTATGCCTTATTAGGATTTATTTATTCTTTCTTGAATTTGTTTGGAAATTGACTACTTCTATATGATAATTGTTCTAGAAATTAGAAGTGTGCAATTTTCAGGTTCAATGCTGTTTTTGTTTTTAATATGTTTGAGGCTAGGGATTTTGTTACTTTGCCTAATAGGTTGTATATAGTAGGATGTTAAGGAAGAATTTGGTTAGGTTCTTTATAGAGGAGAAGGGAGTAAAAGATATAATGAGTATTTGGAAGCATTGGTTCATTTAATCTGGAAGTTAATGCAATCAAAAGCAAACTGCTACTTTTTAAGATCTAAGAACAATTTCAGTGTGTTGAGTATCTTTTTTTATGTTTTGGTACAAGAATGTTTGCTTGTTTGTCATATGATCTAAACATATATTATTTGTGAGTCACATGTCAATGGACAATTTCATTTTTCCTGTTGTTAAAGTTGTGTCCTTTGATGTGATAATCTGGGTGCTTAACATTGCTCACAAACTGCACCCGGAAGAAATCTGGTTTTCTTCTCAGCAAGTGTTTGGCGTTTTTTTCAGATGGGAACTCTGCCTAATGGAATTGATATCCACTTGAAAGAGCCTGAAGCAAATGGAGGGTTAGTTGCTCTCTTTTTCATCTTTCCTGACTTGTTCTTGTTCTTTTTTTTGTCTCCATGGGATGGGAAAATTGACCAATTTGCTTTTGCAGGTTTCTGCTTGCTCAGCTTCTTGCAGTGAGAAAACCTAGTCCTGAGAACAAGGATGCCAGTGACACCAAGGATGATGATGAAGACGACGAGGAAGAAGCAGTGGACGATCAAGATGAAAATGCAAGCGAGGAGGAGGAGGATGCTTCTGGTAACGAGGAAGGAGATCCCGAAGATGAACCCGAGGCCAATGGGGAAGGTGCCAGTGGAGATGAGGATGACGATGATGACGATGATGATGACGGTGGTGATGACGACGACGACGACGACGATGACGGCGAAGAAGAGGAGGAAAAAGAGGAAGAGGAGGAAGAGCTTCAGCCACCGGCTAAAAAACGAAAATGAGCTTGAATCTCTTGTTCTAGTAATTTATTGTCTTGCTGAGGTTAGGGGTATGATGTAGAGGGAAGTTAGAATGGGTTGATTCAAGTTACGGACTTTAGGGTGTCTGTCTAAATTAGAGTAGATAACATTGTGACATTTCTGGAAATCAGACTTCGCTTCTTCAGGGTTACATTTATGCATCACCAGCTTAAAAATGATACTCCTATCTGGTTGCTTCCAACCGTGCTCCGGCATACGACTTTTTATTAATTCCAAGATTCCAACTGGAGGCTTGGTTGTTTTGGATGAATATGTAACGTTTTTTCAGAAAAATGGGGTGGAGGGATGGAAGGAAGAAGACTCTACCTGATCTTTGACCAACTAAATTTATTCGGGGAGTCCCTAAATATCTTTTTCTTCTGTCGGCTGCTGTTGCTTGTAGCCTTAATATGTTTTCTGTGGTTAGTAAAGTTGCTTATGCATCTAAAGTTTATGATACTCTTTTTTTAAGAGAACTCTGCAAAGCTAGCAATAAAGAACAAAAGGAAAAGCCTCGTGCTTTTTGTTTCCTCGGCAATTTTGGCAGTGCATATTTGTACTTGGAATGTTTGTCTTGTATCGGTTGGCAGAATTTTCTCGATTTGGTCCAACTTTGTTATGGCAAGATTATTGCTACCTTAGTGTGTTAATGCCAGTCAACTAGTTCTGCTCCGCAAAAATCGGCCACATTGGGCGGAACCGGTAACACTTAATCTAATGATTCGGACATGACTGGTTTCCAATGAAAGAATCAGATATAAGATAGTGAGAGGTGAAGAAAACATTTTTCCTGTTACCAATGTTTCACTGCAACTAAAACAAATGTATTACATTTCTACAGCAGGAGCTCTAAGCCTCAAATCTAATTTCAAGGGGAGGAACCCCATAGTACCTCTGCAACAATTGAAGCTTTCTCTGCCTCAGAAACAGAGGCTTCTCTGACTCTCCTCAAAATCTCCAACTTAAATTCTATTTTCTCCTTTTTACTTAGCATTTCTCCTGATTCTAATTGCACTGCAAATCTTGCAACACAACCTTCAAATGGACAATTCCCCTCATAACCCTCTTCCTTGTCCGTTTTTGGCTCTGATTTTGAACCATTTTCATCCACACTGGCTTGCTTTTCTAATCTCTGAAATTTCACCAGCTTCTCAACCAGCCCTGCTTCAAGCATTGCTTCAATTGCTTCTCTTCTGCCATAACACGAGATTTCAAGTATGCAATCTATGGCTCCTGCTTGAATCGCCACGTTTTCTGAGCTCAAAAGGCTTATAATTCTTGGGATTTCTTTGTGTGCTTCTAATTCATCAACCAAAGGGATTCTAATGAACTTGATCAGTAAAGAAAGGACTCGAATTGAACAACGAGATGACATCGATATTAGAGCTCGAACAGATGGACCCATTAGCACCAATCCCACAAAAACATCTTTATTGATTCTAACCAATGAAGCTATGACTAGTGCTACCTGATCTGGAATTCTAATCGAGCATGAAGAGTCGCAAAGCAAAAATCGAGAATCGAGAATATTTTGGCTTTCAAAATTAAATCTTGAAAGTGCATATCAAAACCTTGTGATAAACGATTCTCAAACTCAACCAAAACGTTCACTTTCCCATCCTCGTCAGCTGAACCTTCAAGTGTTGCCACAAGGATTTCAACGCTTTCTCGATCGAAATAGGCTCGGATTCTGTATTGCATAAGCAACTTGGTAAATCTTGTAGTTGATGATTTGGCGTCTGAGGATGCAAGGGAGGCTATAACCCTGGTATTTTTGGAGCTTCTCAAGGTGGGTTTTGAGGTTGCAAAGCAGCTGAGACAGCTTGAAGAGATTAGGGTGGTCATCAAAAACGATGCTTTCATCCCTTTCGAGGTCCAAGAAACGTTCAATGGTGGATTGGGGTTCATGTGATGAAAAAAGGGGTTTTTTCTGCAGATCATTTGAAGCTTTCTGGAGGGATTTTAGCAGCGAAAGTAAGTGCTGATCGTCTTGGCTTGATGTTTCATCCATTTTAGCAGCTCGTTTACTGCATGTGGTGTGAGGGGGAACCAAGCTAACCGAGGGAACTCTCTCCCAACTACCGGTCAAAAGATATGATTATAGTTATGACCAAACCTTCAAATAATTTGATCAAGGCTAAAACCAAATGTCGATGAACGTATGCCAGAATCTTCTTCTGTTTCTGCACATCAAATCTGTTGTTTGCGAATTAGTGGATTAGCTGATGGTCGTGGGCCAACCTTAAAATTTGGTGGCTGCTAAGCTTACCCATTACCTTACGCATTCTAATAGTTTAAGCTCCAATGAAATTCTTGAAAAAATGATTCCTTTAAATTACTTGTTCGAGTATTAAAGAGTGTTCCCATATTTTATAGGTTAAACCAAGTATTTAGTCATCTATCTATTTTTGAAGTTTCATTTTGATCATTTAACTATTATTGAAATGCTTAGCATGGTCTTTAAATTCTCATCATTCCAGCACTTATCTACAATATAATCAGACTAGCCGTTTCATCAAAACTTTTTGCATCTTAAACAGAAAATAAATTTTATGAAGATTGATTCAGTTTACACAGCAAGCATTTTATTCATCAGTGCGGGGAAGGAAACATTGGTGTTCATTGAGTATCACGGTCACAGAATACAAGCTGAGGGCTCCATTTTAGATGGAGATTAAGCTTTCCTTATTTAGCGCCATCTATTGGGAAACTCTCTTGAAATTCCCCTTCCAATTTGTCATTGTCATCGCTATTCTTCCGATTTTTTCCTGTAACACACATTTGATTAAACCATTGCCAGGAAGCTATTAGCTCTATTCATGGTGAGATTTTACCTTCCTAAAAGTGTCATGGTCCAAGATATCCAAAATTAACATTTCATGCAATGCACCCTCCACTACAAAGTCGAATGTCTGGTTCCACACAGGATTCAAGGTCTCATTAGCTACCTGAGAAAATTTATGGGAAATGAAGCTGAATTTGCATGCCAAAAAGGCACCACCAATAATAATAATGAAAAAACACTAAAAAAAGCTCACTCTTGTCTTGGATTTTGCCTCGGATTTCTTCATTGTGAGGACGACAAAAGGGTCTTCCTTTCCATTAAGGTCAACCGGTGGCAAGTTTTCACCTGATATAACTATCACTGATAGTACTTCTCTAACAATCACCTCTTTTTTTCTTTTGAGCCTCTTTTCTGGAATTGATACCCTCCAGTTCGATATTGGAAGGTTTAAGGGACTTTTCCAATGATGTCAATGAGTAATCATGGTTAAATGGGTTCTTCAACCTGCTGTCTGTGCCATAAGGGTTGTAAAGGAGCTCAAGCTGCACCTGTTCGAAAGAATTCATGAAATTTATCAGCAACTGCAACATTCAAGTTGTTTAAGATCATGCCAAGTGTTAATATCATCAATTGGGATACCTACCTGACCCCTATATTTATTATCTCTTTGGACCACCAAATCTTTTACCAGCTTCAGCCATACTTCCTTCACTTTACCAGGCTCAAGGTCCAATACAAATTGAGCACAGCCAAGGAGTTCAGAATCCTGAACTCCTTCATCATCAAAGACTTTTACAGTCGAGTGTTGTGTGGATACATCTTCTACAATGAACTGAAAGTGCTCATTCTAAATTGGATTCAATTGATTGACCTGGATAATTAAAGAGTTAGAAAACATAAATCATTGGAAAGGAGATCATATGCATAAGAAGGCATGATTCTTACAATGGTTTTACTGGTCTTCGTTTTATCCAGAAGTGGTCGTATAAATAAGACATCAAAAGGATCAGATTTCCCAATGATGTCCTTATTTGTTAGTTCCTTGGCTTGCACAAGCTTCACATCTAATTTTCCAACTGGTTTCAGCTCCAGAAAACTGGTGAAAGGGTTTAGGGTATTAATCACAGAAAAGGAAGAGCCAGTTACTAGGAAGATTAACGATTGCAGGTTCTTAAACTCTTCAATAACATTGGTCTAAAGACAAATCGACAGTGAATTCATTGTAGAAAGAACATGGAAACCTTGTAATCCCCAGGTATTATTTGTACAATATTCCTAACAGGCCATGTTATAGAATCTTCAATAGCATTCCTAATTGTCTCCTGTGAGTACAGAACCGTAAGATCAGTTCATCAGAATCACATCTCATACTCTCAGTGGTTGAAGAAATTCAATGCAAATAATACTTCTTTATGCAAACTAGTTTACATATTTATGAAATACTAGCTCACAAATGATTGCTAATAAAAAGGGTTGTTCTCTTCTATCTTGGAAAATCTACCACAGATTTTGCACTTGTATAATTGGCCTCCATGATTTATAAACTAAAATGCATATTTGTCAAGTCAATATATAATAACAGAGAAATATATATATAAAAAAAAGCAATGAGAAAAAGGATTCTCCAAACCTCAATGGCATCAGAAACTCCTGGTATTGATGATAGATCACCTCCAACAACTTTAAGCGTAAAATTAAGTGCTCTCTGCAGGAAGAAGCATTCCAGGAAATCATGATATCAGTGTAAAAAGTAAATGCATTGAAATATCTATCATTGATGAGTTATTTTGTTATAGCATATAATGTTTTGAGCTTGTCTTTTTGCATAAGTTGTGCAAGGAGAAAAACTGTAGTGGTAATGTTAACAAGAAAACTGATAGTTACCTTCTCTTTCAAGGAATAGGCAACAGCTCCAAAACAAGGAAACTGATCAACGAGTAGTTTGAAGATTAACCTAAAAACCCCAGTGAACTCAATATCTTTGACCTAAATGAACAAGTTAAAACCAGGAGATATTAACCAAGAAGAAGGGGTTTAAGTCAAATACATTTATTTAACACAACAATCAAGAAAGGAAATTTTGAGCATGAATGAGCAATATGTAAAGGTTACCTGTCCGGGCAGGGTAACACCGAGTTTGGTGTTGATATTAAGGACGATATTTGGGTCACCATCTCCATTGTGATTCCATCAGCACCACTTTCACTCTCAATGATGGAAATACCTAGTGAATATTCACAAATATTTCAAACTTTGGGAGATAAATCTAATTCACTGATACCACTATAAGTGTATAAGCTATCCTCAATATATTTTCCTTTTAACATAAACGAGAGCTGTAATGAACAAAAATGTACCTGTGAATTGTGGTGCAACCGTACCAAGAGTCAGCTTGTCAAACTTCATGGACGATAAGATAGCTGGTGTATATTGTTCAAGAACTGGCTCAACACTCGCTCTTATTAGCTCCGATGCTGCCTATTCCATCATAGAGAAAAGGTATTAAATGCTTATATATATATATATATATATATATATATATATATATATGTAATTAAAAAAACCACCAAAAAGTTAAACAAATTACCTCGTCGACCGATGGCCAAATCTTTTCAAGTTGGACATTAAGCCAAACTAGCTGTATTAATGAAGAAACCAGTATTAGTAGAGACTCAATGATAACAACGAGAGAGATATAAATTTGATAATGATCGATCTAAGTCAACTTCTGGCGCTGAGAGAAGACAACCCAAGGCGGATAAAACTGGCGCGGTAGGTTTTTTCTTGAATCTTGCACCGTCATCCTTGCAAATGCAGCAACCGTCCTTGCCTGGCATAATGTGTTCACCATAACACATCATGAAATGCACGTTAGGAAAACGAAAGGAAAAAGCCGGTAAAAAGCTGGAATTTTTTATGCATATGAAATGGGAATACCAGAAAAGCACGACGAGTGGATGGGATTTTAGCATATTTAGCGAAACTAATGATCAACCAGATACCAATGGAGAAACCAACGAACATACCGAAAAGGAAACCCATGATTCTCTTTAGTTTTCGTTGGAACCCACCAGATAATGAGATTATGAATATTCTTGGTGAAAAGTATCATCGGGTTTTGCTTTTCCCTTGGGATTTTCTTTCCAATGCATTGAAAGAAAGATAGCCTTTTCCTAGTGAGGAAAAAAAAAACGAGAATTTTGGATCAGGGTGTTGTCAGTTGCAGTTGGGGAACCACGATCTACGAAAACGAGTTTGATTTAGTCTCAAGTAACGATCAATCAATGTACTTTCTGATTTGGAAAGGGGTGGCATCTATGCCTCAAAATCACATGTTAGGATTGGATGAATTCAAAACAAAAATATCATAATATTAGTAATGTAACGTTAATGGAAAAAATAGCGTTACTAGAAACCTATCAAATAATCACCTAAACCATCAGTTATCTTAACTATCAGTTTTTTTAAAACCATACATGACGTTTAATTTCATTTTATTTTAGTACTTGTCATTAAAAACTTATTGTGTATAGTACTTAAACTATCAGTTATGGTTCGTTTTAGTACTTAAACTTTCATTTTTTCTCTCAAAACTTAATATTAAATTTTAAATAGGGTACTAAAATTAAACAAAAACTAAAGTTTTTAATGGCAGGGTACTGAAATGAAACAAAAATTAAATTTTAGGTATGATTTTGAAAAAATTAAAAGTTTAAGTACTAAAACGGATCAAAACTTATAGCAAGTACTAAATGTTTAATTTACCCAAGAATCTTAATAATTTTAATAGTGGCGAAAGAAAAATATTATTATTCCCGGTTAAGAAAATTATGAACATGTATTTTTTTATAATCACTCCATACTATTAAAAAAAAGTGTAATTTACCTCAGTTAGGGGTGTAGTCGGTTCGATTTTCATTAAATTATGAACCGGGCCGCCCTTTGTCAATTTTTGAAAATTAGAACCGAAACCGAATAGTATAAAAACCATGGTTTTTGGGTCGGTTCGGGTCGACGATTTTTTATTATTCACTATTTTTCAAACTCAACCTCCAAAAAAGAATTTAAAGCGTAAATCGAGTGTAAATATATAAATTTAATATTTATAAAAAATGTTATTAGTTTTAATATTTTATTAATTTAAATTTATCTTATAATAAATTCAAAATGAATGTATTTTGTATAGTTATTTTCTTTTATTTTTTAATTCGAATTAATTCGGTTCAAACGATTTTCATATAAAAAATCAAAATTGAACTGAATTGGATATTTATTTTTCAAACTAAACCAAAACCGAACTACAAATTGAAAAATCCGAATCAAATCAAATTGAATACTCCGATTTGGTTTTTTGATTTTTTCGATTTCG